AGCAGACGTATATTACGTGAATTTGGCGGTACTTATCTAGTTATAGATGACAATCTATCTCCGTCCCATGCTGTTTAACCGAAATTTTCTTCGACAATTCTTAGCGTGTAACCTGCGTCGCTGTGGACGGAACACCAGCAAAATTTACAACCATTGCAATCGCCACAATGGCCCCCTTGGGTTGCATCAAAAAGGCCAAAGCCATCGTTTCTACTGCAACAATGGTATTATGATTAAGCGTTTGTCCGGTCGTGAGTTTTGCGGCCGTCCATTCATGCTTCGTCATCAGCAAAGTTGACCAAATAATGCATGTGTTATCTATTTCAGGCGTCTTGAGTAGTCATACGTTTACATAGAAAAAAAAAATGTATATTTAACCAACTTGGACACTGTTTATCTGCGTAACCCGATGCATCGAATAGTGTGTAAATTTTACTGTCCGCGCCCCATATGGCGTCCCTCCTTTCAAGGACGTCCAACGAACTGGACGATACGTGCTCCATTACAATAGCGGAAAAATAAGCGAGGCTGTCTGCTTGTTCCGAGAGTTAAGATGGGGTCTAGCCTTAGAGGACGAGGCAGCGAAGGGCAAAAATGTGAATAAGAAGCAAGAGACGGAGTGCGTATTGTAGTGGTGGCAGAAGCCTAGCTCCCGTTGTCGCTGCTGTCGTCATCCAGCCGGATTAAGACTATAATGCTGCAGTCTGCATCGATTGACGGTCGATCATCAGCCCAAAGGGGGCGGCAGGTCGACTTGGCCACTGGCTCCGTCAACAGCAGCAGCCCCGTCCAAGGCGGCGCATCCCAAACAGCCTTAGTAGCTCGTTCTTGCCATTGTTTCGTCGTTCCCTTCTCAACCTATAGCGAAGCGAGAGTGGAGAACTGCAACCCAATAGAGCGAACGACGAAGCGAGCAAGCAAATGACAAGCTCTGCCAGGTCCCCTTACGGAGATGTCAATCCTCTTTCATATCGTCCTTATTACGCCGTTGCGGTGGTGCTGTTGCTAATACGTGCTTGCAGGCCTCTGTAAGCCTCGTCGTGCTACCACGCTGCTTCAAAGTTATGGAACAAAATAACCGCAGCTAGAAAACTTCCTCCTATTAGAGACCCGCTATTTCCATTACCAGTTCGTCCCGCTGCTACTTTCAACTTCCTGCAACTCTCCCAACCGACAGTCCGGCTGATCGACTTAGCTAGCAACACATAGACACAGATATGCACCCAGTCAGACACATCGACTTCCGTCGACGCAAACGGAGAAGTTGACCAAGTTAGAGGCCTTATAGGAGACACAACGGTAAAGAAAGGGGGAGAGCGAAGGTTACTGCTTCTACAGCCACTACCGCCTGAGGAAGAGAGAAGGGGGCCAAGGCAATCGTTTGCCACTGCGCTGGATGAGCGAATGATGCTAGACCCGTTGGTTGGCTGCCATCTCTCGACCTACTCTGACTAAGAAGCAGACAGAAGCGGATGATTGTTCGTAACTGTTGTATCTAGTAGCTTTATTGACAATTGAACTGTAACGGAAATAATAAAATAGCAAATACCACAAGGGGAAGGGCAAAAGCAAACATCCTGAGCCATAGAGAAATACGGAGGGAGATTAAAAACAAATCTAGTCGAGTTCAAAGTTCGTTTGCTAAGCGACGGAACAGAGTTAAGGTTGTGATCATGGAGGTACGTTCTCTGCCAACGTGTCTGTTTATTTGAACTGAAGGTGGCGTTCTACTGGACAAAGACCTGCCGGCAGAGGCCGTGACAGCGGCTTCCGTCCAGCCGGCCTGTGTAGGAGCGCGTGAGGGATTGAATTTTTGAGAGCACTGCGTGGAATAGCAGGGCGACAGAGTACGACGCTACAAAATCTAAATTTACTCGTAAATTACGTGTTATATTATGGTGTTCATTTAGTGTGTCACAAGTTTGCCGTTTGTATGGATATTTTTAGGCAACGTGTTTTGATCGATTTGAGGTAACCACGAGATGGAAGTGCTGATTTTAACCGAGGAAACTATTTCATAATATTTGGTGCCAACGGTTTATTAAGCACTTGCTAAGATTAAGAGGAAGATACTGATTGGAAGAGCCAGGAGCGTCCTACGAAGAACACCAGAATTATCACCTACGCAATTCTGCACGTAGGATGATCACAGCAGATGCTAAGTCGGTTCGCTATGGAGTTACGCGGCCATCTCAGACCACATTTGGCAAAAGTCACTCAGCGGACTATAAGACACATCAGTGCTGTTCGAATAACGGCAGCAGTGGACCCGCGATCGGGCCTCTGCTTTTCTCGTACCACGGTCCCTCCCAGAAGCGGTTCCAGGAGATGCTTAAGAAACGCCAACGTCGTAAGCAATTGAAGCAACAATCAAAGGTGCAGCGAAGCATATCGCTATGGTCAGATCGGGCGTCGGCGTACGTTGAAGAAATTTTTAAGAAGCGCGCGTCGCAAAGTACTTCCGGACAATCCTTTCCACGGCCACAGCGATCATCTATAAAGAGCACTGCAGATTTAAAAATTCCTGAAACCGCACACTGTTCCGTGATTCTCGAAAGGCGATCGCGAAATGTGACCCTTCAACAGAACATCAACAGCAAAGACGTCACGCCAGAAGCTCAGCACGTAGCTCTTCGCAGTGTTAAGACTCGAAGAAACGAGAGCCGTAAAATACACACACGCAGTGGTCGCTTAGCTGAGGAAAAACTAACCAACTCTAAAAAAGTGGGCGACATCGGGCCGGAAGTGTCTCCGAGGACGATGATATATTTGAACAGGGAGTCTGAAGATAACAGGCACGACAAAGGCAAAGGACATCAGCCGCAGCAACAGGGAAGTAAGCACAAACACCAAGAACATGGTACGCCTATTGGAAGAACATCTTCAATAGAGTTGATCGGGCTGGAAGGGTTAGTAATGCGTGCATTTTGAATTTCTACCACATGCTAATTGCGTTAACATGGTAGCACTTAAAAAGGTTTTGAGCACTTTCCATATGGAGTTATGTTTAATGACAAACGCCAAAAGCGATTATATGACCTGGACCATCACCAGGCTGGATACCATAGCACATATATATCCAACGGTGAAATTTCCTAGATGTACTTCTCGTAAACTGCTTATTCTCGACCTAGCCCATACCGTATTTGCTCTCTTCATTGTTTTGATTACTTCATTCTGTTTGACCACTGCGTACCTTGCTGGCCTCAAACTGTGGCTGCAAACGTAAGGGGGCTTCAGAGTGCACCATCTTTATGGATAATGCGACAGGGCGCAAATACGATAACGAACGATATTATACGACGAATGACAAACGCTTCTAATATTATTTCGTAATAAAACTTCAATAGCAAGCTTTTTATAATTTAATTGTGCGTGACGTCAATTGACTATAACTATGATAAAAACAAATCGTAAGGCAAAAGAGAAAATGCACTTTGTCTCATACAACAACTACATTACGTCTATAAGAACTTTTCGTAATATAGCAGTTGTCCCATTTAGATTCCATGGTCTAAGACACGTAGATAAGAATATGATTTGTCAGTAATGAACGAAGCAATTTACAAGAAGCAATATTGATCCGTTGTAGCCTTCGCTGCTAAACGAGAATGATCTCAAACAGAAAAGGACGCTGTTGACGCGGCGACGTCTTGTACAATACACCGAATCGTAAGTGCTCTATACTATTGCCGGGTATGCGAAAGCAGACGAAAGCCGATTAGAGAAAAAGCATTTCATTTTTTTTTTACAGAAACTTGTCTGAGATAAACGATAAATATTCAAAGATTAAGATAACCATTTCCGTATGATCTAATTCTGACTTCCACGGATATTTTTACAGTGGAAATGGCGAGTCTCACTACCAGTTTTAAAGCGCGTGTTTCTAGTTGATAGGTTTTCGATGAATAGTTTCGATCACAAAAGTGATCTTTCTTCGACTTTTTAAAGTTGTTATTCTGATTTTTAGAATTGTACCTAAGAGAAGTAACCATAAGGACATGTTTATAGTTATGCTATAAATACCTAAGGCAATTGGCAAACGTAATAAAAATGTTTCAAGCAAATGCATTTGTGCTACAGAAGTACTGACACTTCGATAGAATCTTCGCTCCAGACTTCAAGACCTATTAAAAACCGAATTAAAGAATCTTGTTAAGGATTTAAACCTTTATAACAAACAGATCTTTATAACAGTACACTAGAACGGGTTTTACGTAAATAGAGCGTAGTAACAGCTAACCTGAGCTTAAGTGAGTAAGCCCGTAAGCCTAAGTAAGCCCGAACGACATCTTATGAGAGCAGAGCAGCAGCAGCAAAAGAAATTAATATAAGGACAAAATGTATACATATTTGCCATATAATGGAGCTTGATCCGACGTTTTTTTGGTTTCGAACCTATTTCTTAGTATTACAGATATGAGCGTGTCTTCGGGCAAAAACAACAAATGATTTAACTCTAAGACACACAAAAGTATTTTTTTATGGTAAATACGTGAAGCAACTAGCGGTAAATATTCTTGGTAGATCAATTCTTGGCAGAAATCATCTGTAGGTACCTTCTTCGTTAGCTAAACAGCTACACATTGCTTAAAGGAAATCGGCTTCTGACAGCCACAGAACGGGGCCCGTCAATGTAAGCGATGCGACGTCACTTATAGATTGCTTTTTGTGTTTCACGTTCAGTGCCTTAGCCTTCAAATACTGGCTAGCTACCAGAACGAAGTGTGTTAATATGTGGATTCAGGACGTACACGTCTGAATCCAGACGTAATATAGTCTAACCTAGTTCTCAGCTCCTCTGGGTATAGCTTAACTTGATCGGCAACTCAACTCTTAATCCGATTGCAAAATATCTTTTTCTAGCCCCCGTAGCAATGGAAAAACCGACTTCATTTTCCCTTCAAGTGGCGAAAGTGAAGTAACACTTGGAAATAGTTCGAGGAAGGTAGAACCGTAAATTACACAATAAATACAAAGCGAGATGTCATTCAGTTGAAATGTATTGAATTTAGATTTCACTTCAGCTACTGGTTAATAGCTATGCATAATATTACACACAGCGAGGGATGGCTTCCACAAGTCGGTTCATCGCACTGGACGTGAGAGGACTTACTTCAATGCAGGTTATTGAATTAAGTTAACTGAAATTAATTAGGTAGAAACGTTAGACCGGATATCAGACAAGACGTGGTCCATATTTTGTACGCAACTTTGACAGACGCATTTTTAGATTTTAAAGCATGTCACCAAGCGATTGAAAACTTAAAATTGCCAAATGGTTAAATATACGACTGATTCCGAAAAATAGCTTTTTCACCGTGCAGAAATTTTACCTGAGATTGTCGATTATTATAGCTTATATCATATCGCAACACGTACAGTTTATTAAATCGATAACAGAGAGCGCCTGATTTTCTAACACATGGCACCTACGGTGCCTTCCGAAATGCTCCCGAAGGCAGTCCAGCCGAACTATGAGAACAAAAAATATTTGTAAAAACTCTTGAATATGCATGAAAGGAAGTCTCGTTAGAGAGCATATTCAAAAAACAGCTATCTATAGGGAAAGCGAATGAAACGCAAGCAAGTATGAATAAGTATATCACGATTTTTACCAGGCCATTTCGACTTTTGCTACATTGAAGATACGTTATTTTGTTGAACTATGGGAGTTCTCTGCTTGCGTTTAGGCCTTTAGTAAAGTCGAAGTAAAGAAGAAGAAGAAGCGTTTGGCATTAGCCAAAATTGATTTCGCTTAATTAACTTCTATTGTTAAGCCCATATGCTACCGGTCTTGATTTTGTGCATGCCGTTCTTCAATTAAAAGTACACGCTTTATCTCAGAAATAATAGTGCTGTTTGTAGGCGATGGAAATGTTTTGAATTTGGTGAGGTGGTTAAATGAATAGAATTGAAATGGTTAAAACAAATAGAATTGAAACCGGAAAATGCACCATAAAAGTTAATGCGACTTTATAGATATTGTGTTTACACGATCCAGATGTTCACAAGCCAAATTGTTTGCAACGTGTAGAAATTCAGCGGTAAAAATATATCTTAGCGCTAAATTTATATAGTCTGTTGCAGTGAAAGAGAATTAGGTAAACATCTCAAGGGCAATCGTAGTTGTGTTAGGGTGCTACGTATCTACTAGATTCACTAGGACAAGTAATGTTCACTTAAGCAGTTACGTTGATGTCCATTATACATAATATTCGCTTACCAATCTATGTTGAATCTGGTTAGTTTTATTTACTCAGCACATCAGGACGGAAGTACACACTGCTGGCTTACTGATGAGATCTACTAGCTGTAGTCGACTATTTTCTATAAGAATTGCTATAGGCATAGAATACATTGCATTATTTTTTGTCTCGCGCTGGCGTAGCTATCACCCCAAAATCAATAGAGCTGAATAACAATGAAACAAGAAATCAAGCTAAACAATTTAGAACTGCTACTTCGAATTATTGTTGTTAAGGGGCCGACTATTGTAGCGACGCGATAAGATTATACTGCATTTGTCCGGCTTCTAATTGAAACTGTCCTATTTACATTTGGTACAAACGGCAAATCGAGTTAACGTAAGATGGCACTTGTCCAATTGCAGGACCGTCCAGCCCGAGTCAAACGATTATCATATTGAAATCAAGAACATCTATAGACGACGGAGTGCAACAGTAAATTAATAGTAGACCAGCTGGAAGCGCATAGACACTAAACAGTAGACCTTTAGCTAAGCAAACGATTGACTATGGTTCAAAAGGATCATGCTTCATTGGTAGGCCTACTATTTTTCAAACTGCGAGCCTGTTCCACCAAACACTCAACGTTCAGCTGATTTCTTTATCCCCTATAGAGAAAATATCTAATAGTGACGACGAGTAACTGTGTTAGATTCAATTTCTCGAGTGCATTGCAAAACCATTACCGGTGTCTAAATCCTGCCTTTTAAATTTCGATATTACTTTTGCTGTTGTTGCTTTGGAGCTTCTGTGTACAGAGTTTCGTGCGTTCATGTTGTTCTTGATACAGCACGTTTCAAGTGTCCAAATTTAGCAAACTGCCAACAGCCACAATCTGGCAATTTAAATACGTCATTAGCTTCACTAAAAGAATTGGGTACGATAGGTAATTATATGGGTGTTGATTTTATATTTGAAAGAAAACCTATCATATATAGCCTATAGGATATTCAACGTATATGCGCATGCGCCCATTTACTGTCAAAAGTCGTTTTGTATTCTCGGGCAACACTGTTCCCGCTCGTACTGTTTTTGCCAATTGAAATATTAATACTTTGGCTCCATTAAATCTCAGCCTAAAATAGGCGTCTCGATACATAAAAGTATGGACCATGAATATTATCGCATCTCGTGAGAAGAAGAAGAAGAACAACAACAACAACAACAACAACTTTGACTGTCTTTGTTCTGTCCTGGTCCTTTTCCACACAGTTTGCCCATGAGGAGATATTTTGTGTTATAAGGTACTATAATGTTTGTAGCACAAACATAGGAATCTTGCCCTCTGTCCTCACAGGTGGTACACAACAAGGTGCAAAATTGCTACTAGATAATTACCTTTTTTGCGCCATTCCGTCTGGGGCTTTTCACATTCCAGTCTCAAAATGCAGAGAAGCCCTATCGACGGGCCATCTGTTCAAATCTTATTATCTGGTATGGTAGCAACTAGGCGACTTACGTATGACACCTGGTGCGCTTTATCTATCTATTTTTGACAAGATCACGACGGTATGCCTTTGATTGCACAGGTATTTTACATTGGCTTGTTACAATTACCTACTCGCTGGCGGTCTTTTCGCTCTATCGTAGTGGAGCAACACTCGCGCGAAGTTGTCATACAACCTTACCTACCTTCTCCGACGTAGTCTGCTAGGTTTGAGCATTTTCTTCTAGCAAGATTCACCGCCGCATCTGGTCAGTACTAAGCCGGACAATTCACCTATTAATGAAGAACTTTGTCAGTTTTTGTTACTGGCAAGACGACGACAGCCGCCTTAGGCGTTACCGTGTACAAAACAACCAGGGGCGGCGGTACTACCTTAATAACATTCAGTTCACACAATAATTAACGGATGATATGGATAAGCAAGCGATTCTAATTGGAAGATAATTGCTTCTGACATTGTCAGCTTTACATTGAATTTATTCATTGAGTAAAGAAGATCATTGCTGTATGTTTTAGTGTTGGATCCAACTATCCTATACTACGTTAGATAAGGTGAGGAGCTTGAAAATGCAGCTTAACCGTCGCCTTTCACACCGAGTGATTTCCTATTGCAGCAGTACTCGTTATACCTGTAGGTTTACCAGCGCAGTGACGTCGAGACAAGTTTAGTGGTCAACGCTATAAGAAACATTGTAAAACTATGATTTAGTAAAAAATAACCAGGAAAAACATAAGTGATTTCGAAACGGAACCGTGCGGCTATAGCAACTCCACTTTACTTTCACAGACCTCGTGCGAAGTTCCGCGAATAGATAACTTTAGCTGGTTGTAAAAAGGCATAGAGAATATATCTCAAAACAACAGCTTTCTGTCGATACATTCCAACGTCGATAAACTAGGAACGCCCAAACTGAACATGCAATAGACTGATAAGGTCAACATATTTTCAGAGACTAAACGCTTGGTGCTGCATATTTTGCCGAGAGAACAGTTATTTTATACGACATTATCACGGGAATATAGCTACTAGTACGTGAAGATATTTATAGAGATGGCGAGTTTAAGTGTGGCCTGAGACGAAGCTTTGACGCTATGCTGAATAGAAATGCTTTTACTCGATACACAAGCTAGCGTTTTTTTACAGGAACGAGATTTATCCGTGGCCGTTTATAAATAGCCATGAATACAATATAGCAGACAGTAGAAACTAATTAAACTTATTGCAACGCCTACTCCTTACGTGAATATAGCTCACAAACTGCTATTATTATCGAGCTTGACGCCCAACGAGAGCATACTCGACCATTCCCATTTCGATAGTAAACCTTGCGAACCAATCCTGCTCTATGTAGATTTCAATCGACATAAAAATTCTTAAAGCTTATTTATACAGGTCATTATTTACAGCTGGAAATGGGATGATTTATACAGGCAATATCATCCAATACAACCCATTTTTTTTGTGCGCACAGGGTAGCAAATATCACAAGACGCCCTTACTCTAAAGCCTATTCGCATCGTTATTTATAACTGCCGACGATAACTTTTTGCCAAAAAAAAAAAAAATCTATCTGACGTATTATAACCCGTTTTCGTTCGTCATCCGTTCAGAAGATAAGTGGTCATTCACGGTTTCAACCGTAAGCTGATATTTGCTGGAGGCAGCCCATGTTTTACCATTGGTAAACTCGTAACAAGCCCCAAGCGCCGTAAAAATGTGCTTGGGGAACCACAATACTTACTATGAATGCAGTTGACCAGCTGCACACTAGAAGATCGGTACGACAAAGAAATGTTTTTGCCAGTGTTCTCCTCAACTGACCTAACCTATCACTACCTAACAGGAAACTCAGGCTTGTTTCACAGAACCCCTTTATCTATTTGATGGGTGATGTCCTCTAGAAACGAAATAAGTGAAGGTTCAGTCTGACATCTTGCAGGAAGATGTCGTGGGGTGCTCAGAGCTCCAAACACATCTCTTCAATATTGACTAATGAAAGAGGCCTGATTTTGCATTGGCCAGTAATATGGCCGAAACTGCGCGCGACAAAACAAGCGGAAAGTCGGTGATGGCTGGCCGCTTTCATAGTAAACAACGTGTCCTTATGCATTAACATTTAAGAGCATTTATGATCATATTCACGGGCATAAGTCACAATCTCAGTTCTAGGTATAACCCTAGTATAAATCCAAGCATGCTACTTACCTAACACAAGTGATAAGGCGTACCTCTTAAATATTTAGTCCGTAAAAATAGTTGTTGTTATTGTTGAGGTTATTGTGTTTATGGCTGTTATTCGGTAATATTCCCATTGCGTTCCTAAAGGCGTCTGCTCATTATCGGCAACAATAGTTATAGATAATGATAGTACTATATTTTGTTTGCATTGTTTAAATATAATTGTTACTGCAATTCAGGTAGTAACAGCAACCTTTATGCATTTTATTAATTCATTCGATACTCGATTATTAATTTCAATACTACCCTTAGTTCTGATTTTTAGATTGGCTCTGCGGAGTTTTATAATAAAGCAACATACGGCGACGAGATGGATTTCAGGACACAAAAAACCTAGCTTTGGTTCTGACTTCCGTCAGTATAGGAGTGTGTGCAGATGCTCGCTATATTGGGCGGGCGAAAAGTATTGACGGCTTCTTAGTCAAAACTTAGGCAAATATTTTCTATATTCTAAAATAATGGCACTAAGCTAAACTTTGCCTATTTTAACTCACCAGTGACCGTCTCCTATTTTTTGGTGACACCATAGCTCAATCGTTGTAGGATTTCTGCACTTTCTTAGTAAAAAAATGATTATTGCATCTCTCCATTGAATCTCCATCTCGGCTGTTACAAGCCGACTCAGCAGAATTTGAAATGGAATAACTTTTGAATTACACGGCGCTAGCAGACGAAATCCGGCTCCAATAATAAATACAGCAGGAAAAATTTGTTCAACAGGAACAACATCTAATCTGGAAAACCGACGGTAAGTGGTCCTGAACTCCTGTTTCTTGAAGGTTATAATACTGTGAAAATTAATCGATGACTGGTGAAGACGTTAGGCAAGGAGGCCTTAAACTGAAAGTATCGCGAAGCGAATGCTGCAGACGTTTCAGGAACGGAGATCAGTATGTTAAAGGGCAGTGAGGAGATGGTCAGATATGGAAACCCGAAAGACAAACGCATTGCCGCAATCGAAAGGGCTTTCCACGAAAGGCATGGCTTGAAATCCAGAAGCTCCGTCGACCAAAGTTGGCGTCTCACATAGAACGTGTTGCAGACTTATCACAAATTATATCAATAGATTATACTATTTCTCTTTTTTCTAAGTGTCAGCTGCTGACAAATTCATTGTAGTCGTTTGCGTATGACGTAAAGGGACAACGACTTTTGGAAGCAAGCAGAAAAACAAAGATGGGAGAAAGCAATCAACTTAGTGGTTTGTGTATCAGACGCCTTAGATCGCCTTCGTTTAATTCGGATGCGTAAACGTTCAACGGGTTCAGTGAATCTGAACAACAGAACAAGCTACACCGACGAACGCTACATCCAACCTAATAATTCTATAATCGATGTTCAGACTGTATATTTAGCGATGCACAATTTTCTTTATCTTCAGTTTTTCTCGTTCGGGAAAGATGCGAATAGAATCTTCACTGGGTGATGGGAATGATGCCCACGCGTAGAAAGCTCCTCACATTCGAAATGAATTTATTTGTGATAATTCAAAGGAGGCGGCATCAGCTCCCAAAAGCATAACTGTGCACCTAACTTTTCGTTAAGCGCATTGATTAATTGTAGTTTTATTTCAAAGATAAGATCTTATTATCCAAAAGAAAGCTTAGAAAAAGCGCTCGTACCAAGGTCGAGCTTATAAAAACGCTGTTCTTTCTAAGTTACTGTATTATAGGAATAGTACTTGACATGGAAATTAGCGTTGGCGTCGAGTTCGTGCTAACACTATATGCAAAATTACAGCATAGGACACCTTTTATAGGGATATATACGAGATTGAACCCGGCTCCTGAACTCAAAGATAACAACAAAAAGTGCCGAAGGGATTGTGCTCGACTTGATACCACACTGTCGGTTGAGCTGTATTGAAAGCACTTTGCAGTTTATATTGAAAGCCGTAACAAAGGCGTTAATTGAGTACAACCGGTAACACCCAATAGTTCCAGATCGCTGGGTATACATTTTGACAGAGAACATGCACTTAACAGGTCGCTAATTAGCTTTAGCTAAGAACCTTAGCGGATCGGTTAAGTCGTGGCACGTAAACATTACAACGTCCCGATTCGTGATCTTCGTTTGTGAATTCCAGGACGTATTGGTATCGCGTGAAAACTGCTATCTCACATGGTATCAAGTACTTCTCCGTATGGCGTTATTCCTGATTCTCTTGGTATTAAGACCAGGTTAGATGTTAGGACACTAAATCTTCATTTGATTTTAGGCAAGTTCTATTAATCTGTCCTTCTGTCGTGGACTCTAGTTTTAAGACGGATAACTTTCTGAATGTTCCTGTAACTGCATATGTATATTCAGATTTTGTAATCATATTCTTACATTCAGCTTTAATTCTCTAACCTTTCTCCCCCACGTCACCGTGGTACATTGCCTTGTCACGAGGGAAGTCATTTACGACTTCGGAGATACGATTATAGTTTTTGGTGTCCTGTTAACGACATGTTGCACCTTTGGATCGTCCCGGAACGTGCCATACTATTTCATCGTCAATCATTTAGCAGAACGAAACATAGATCGAAAGTAGTAACACTTCTAATTGTCTGTCTTGTAGTTAACTTTGATACGCTAGTTTACTAATATGTTATTAGAGTTACTTGCCTGTAAACTCCTCTAGACGATTTTTGTTAACGATGGCCGATACAAACTCTTGTTTGAAAAATCAGTGTCAACAAATTGGTAATATGACATAAGACCCAGATAACATTTAGAGCTGGCATCCATTTCCATACCGAGTGTATGTAAGATAACGGTTACTTTTGCTTGGAGTCTTTTTTGACGCTGAAGCAATAGGTGTCAGTGATTCGATGCTCTGAGTTAACCGAATATCATCAGTTCATATTTATACTGTATATTATACGACTAGGTATGAACGTACTTAGCCGGCCTTTGTTGACCGTAGCGTTCGTTGTTGATCACTACACAAAGCTATCGCTACTGCGCTAGTAGAGTGAAATCTGTCTCCGATGCGGTTACCACCGACGCGTTAGCGAGAGCTTTTTATGTTGGCGTTCTATATGCTGTCGTGTTGGCTTTTCGAAAACGGCTAGCCGCTACACATATGTAGAACATGGAGCTAAGCTCAACCGTGTTGACACATATACTAAGAGCATAGAATTTTAATTGGCATTCGCAGGACACTCATTAAATGCTGTTCTGGAACAGAGTTGATACGATGAACATACGAAAACATAACTGAACGTTATATCTCTTATTATACATGCACGGTTAATATAAATTATCCGAATCTTAGTCTTAATTCCAATTATTCTAATTTACTAATTAAAAGTGCACTTAATTCAAGCCAACTACTAATTACAGATTGACCGAATAGAAGCGCAGCATAGCCGTGGCCAAATGAAGTTACCGTCACTCACCTTCTGCCCGTCTCAATACATGGATGATTTGGGCTCGAAAGTTAACTTAGAGGACAGTTGAATTGTACATTCAGCTGTCCTATAAAAGTTTACAATACATTACAATCTTATTTTTCCCACAGCTGTAACTAGCTAAATTGGCTGTACGTCTAGTAAACATTTTTGGTATTATTGATTCAAGCGTGAAACAGCGTTGATCGACTTCTGCATTGAGTGTACAAAGCGCGCTTGTCGTTTTTTGAAGAAATAGACTACCTGCGTTGAGGTAGTAAATACGCCATCTATTGTAAAATGTACGATCTACTATTGCAAATCTAAGTTCACCTATTTATTGTAAGGATTGTCCAATAACTACATGACCCTACCGACAGACGACGGGCGCTAGCAGAGACTTGTTATCGCCACAGGAAATCTGTCAGTATATTTTTCTACGAGATTTTCTCTCGATCTGTCATTATGTTTTACTTTAGCTATTAAAACTTTTTAACGAAGTGAGCACGACTATGTGCCTCGTAATCGTGCACTTCGTCTTCAGCCTTCTATATATAGAACATTGTCGATCGACGTCCTGTGTATGAATGACTATATAGTGTAACTATATATAGTGCACATCATTAACCTAAACCCATCTTGTATGCTCAGCTGTTTGGAGCGTAATAATATCTCAGTATATGTATCGTACACGTAATTATAATTTGTGCAAATAAAGAAGCTTATCTTTTTGTCCCTATAAGCGAGTGATGGCGTACCAGTACCAATCTGGGTTCACTGAGGTCAATATGCTCACTAAGCTCCTTCCCTGTGAATACAATTGGGGGTATTCTCTTATCTCTACATCTAAAAAGCAACCATATATCAAGACACATAAAGTGAAGAAAAAAATAGAAAAAAAGCGATATTTATGTAAACCATACAAACCCTGGTAAAATCAATAAGTTATATGCGCTTCCAAATTCTTTCTAGTGACGTTCACGGCCTGCAAAGATAATTGCCATCATCATGAAGTTCACCCAATCAACTATATATATATATATATATATATTGGTAAAAAAATGTTCATGGACGCAACTTTAATATGCAGAGCAAAATCAATATTAACTTGAATATTTTACATAGTTTAAAAGAGTTGATTTTTTTCATATATGTTTATAGGTGACCAAAAGACTCAATCGAAGGTTCGAAGCTAAACGTTTTTAGTCGATATGTTTATGTTGTGTAGGACAAATCAGCTCTAAATACTTAAGATGGTTTAAGTAATACAGGTTACATACGACTAGCACCACCAAGGCATAATACCTATGCCAATTGGCGGAGCGTGGGGCTAAGCCCAGTTAAATGAACTGGTTTCTGCCGAGACTGCTACTCACTAATGCTCAGTTTCTCTCTCAAAATTCCCAGCCCAGAATGAGCCCAGATCTTTATTTAACAGATGTATAAGCTGGTACGAAGCAGTCACTAACGTCATCGGTTCATCAGGCCGGGGTCACCTTAGTCGAGCTCTTCGACATATTAACTTCTGTCAGGTCTGCTTAGGTTGGCCTGCGACATTCAGTAACAAACTACGAGCACTAGAAGCACAGAAACACAGGCAATATACTAGGGCACATGTAGGGACTAACTGACAAAGTTGCCACTATTTATAGGAATGTGCATGCGAATAAAGTTAGCTAGGTG